CAAGAATTTTACAACAGAGGGATTAAAATGCTTCCTGAGCGTTGGGCACAAGTAGTAGAAAACAACGGCAACTATATTGTTGATTAAATTTTGTTGTATTGTTTAAATAAATTCGATTTTAAAAAAGGTATTAGAAAACAACATTAATTATTACTAGACCTAATACCTTGGTTGCGGGCCCATCCCCAGGAGGGGGTGTGCAAGAGGCAGAAGAGCGATGACTCTCTCTCATCGATGTTTCTAACTCTCTATCCCACTTTCTTCCTCTCTGTAAAAATTCAATAAAATATATTTTAAAAAAAACAACAACAAAAGAAAGAAATGGAAAAGAAACCCACCATTAAGTTGATTTGTTTTGTTTTGTTTATCTTTTATTTTGAAGAAGCCCACCTTTGAGAACATTGTAAAACTGTCTGTCCCTGGGGATCACAGCACTCCCCACTGTTTTGAGTGCTCCTGGAGAGAAAGCAAAAGTAAGGCTGAATGGGCAGGGCCCCACCTCTGCTATTTGTTGTCAGAACTATATTCCTTTTGGAGGTGGAGAAACTTGAAGAGTAAGAAGTCAAAGGTATTCACCCATTTTATGTATATATTAATTGATTTTAGAGAGAGGAAGGGAGAGAGAAACATCATGCTTGGTTACCTTCTGAACCTGCGAACTCAAGGGTCCAAGGTTCGATTCCGATTAAGGGCATGTATAATACCTTGGTTGTGGGCATGTCCCCGGTGAGGGGTGTGCAGGAAGCAGCTGATGGATGTTTCTCTCTCATCGATGTTTTTGACTCTCTATCCCTCTCCCTTTCTCTCTGTAAAAAAATCAATGCAATATACTTTTTTAAAAATGGTTAAAATGAGCCCTGGCTGGTTTGGCTCAGTAGATTGAGCATCGGCCTTCGGACAGAAGGGTCCCAGATTCGATTCTGGTCAAGGCCACATGCCTGGATTATGGGCTTGATCTCCAGTGGGGTATATGCAGGAGGCAGCTGATCAATGATTCTCTCTCATCATTGATGTCTGTCTCTCTCTCCCTCTCCCTTCTCTAGAATCAATTAAAAATATGTATTTTTTTAAAAATGGTTAAAATGAGCACTAACCAGTTTGGCTCAGTGGATAGAGCATAGGCTGGGGACTCAGGGGTCCCGGGTTCGATTCTGGTCAAGGGCATATGCCTGGTTTGTGGGCTCAGTCCAACGTACAGGAGGCAACCAATCAATGATTCCCTCTCATCATTGATGTTTCTATCTCTCTCTTCATCTCCTTTCCTCTCTGAAATCAATAAAAATATATATTTTTAAAAATGGTTAAAATGATAAATTTTATGATATATATAATTTACTGTAATTTTAAAAATTGATAGTGTAATATACCAAAAACCACTGAATTATACACTTTAAACATTTTTTTAAATTGATTTTTCACAGAGAGGAAGAGAGAGGGATAGAGAGTTAGAAATATCGATGAGAGAGAATCATCGATCAGCTGCCTCTTGCACACCCCCTACTGGGGACGTGCCCTCAACCGAGGTACATGCCCTTGACCGGAATTGAACCCGGAACCTTTCAGTCTGCAGGCCGACGCTCTATCCACTGAGCCAAACTGGTCCCAGCTGAATTACACACTTTAAACTGGTGAGTTGTATGATATGTGAATAAAGTTGTTTGGGGTTGGGGGGAGAAACAATAATGGGTTGGACTTGTTAAACTAAAGTTCTGGACCTGGATTGTAAATATACCTCAGGCTGGGAAACTGGAGAACAGGAAAAATCAGAATTGTAATCCATCCCCCATGTATTTCCTGGAACTAAGCTACTCTTCTGAAAGTGCTGGAAGGAGGAGGAATAATGAGTGTCCTTTGCCAACAGATTGCTTGAGTCTGCGCTTGGGAAATACATTCATGAAATCCCTGTTCTCAAGGAGTAGTTGTTTGCTTGGGTAGTTTTTTTGTTTGTTTGTTTGTTTTAATATACTTTATTGATTTTTTTTTTTACAGAGAGGAAGGGAGAGGGATAGAAACATCGATCAGCTGCCTCCTGCACACACCCCCACCAGGGATGCACCCGCAACCAAGGTACATGCCCTTGACCGGAATCGAACCCGGGACCTTTCAGTCCGCAGACCGACGCTCCACTGCTGAGCCAAACTAGTTTCGGCTGGACAGTTTTTTTATTCGTTTGCTTGCATGTTATTATGGGAAAAGTAAAATGCTGTATATAGAAAAAACAGACAATAGTATAACCACCAACTTCAACAGTTATCAACCTGTGGCCAGGTTTGCTTCATGTACATCCCTACTCATTTCCCCCATCCTGTATTTATTTATTTTTAAATATATTTTTATTGATTTCAGAGAGGAAGGGAGAGGGAGAGAGAGAGAGAAACATCAATGACGAGAGAGAATCATTGATTGGCTGCCTCCTGCACACCATCCACTGAAAATCGAGCTCACAGCCTGGGCATGTGCCCTGATGGGGAATCAAACCAGTGACGTCTTGGTTCCTGGGTCGCCGTTCAACTGCTGAGCTACACCCAGCTGGGCCCCCATCCTGTATTAATTTGAGGCAGGATGGCTGGCATCTTAACATTTCATTGGTAAATATTTCAGTATGACTAAAAGATAAGAACACATTAAAACACACACACACACACACACACACACACATGCATGCACCACAGTTTAAAATGTAATAATTCCTATGTCTATGGACAGATGAATGGATAAGCAAAATGTGGTATTATGTACAATGGAATGTTATTCAACCTTTTTTTTTTTTAAATAGACACTTTAAAAAAATATTTTTTCATATATTTTATTGATTTTTTACAGAGAGGAAGAGAAAGGGATAGAGAGTTAGAAACATTGATCAGCTGCCTCTTGCACACCCCCTACTGGGGGATGGGAATCAAACCCGGGACCCTTCAGTCCTCAGGCCAACGCTCTGTCCACTGAGTCAAACCAGTTTCGGCTATTCAGCCTTTTGAAAGGAGCCTTTCTTGCCTGGCCAGTGTGGCTCAGTGGTTGAGCATCAACCCATGCCCCAAGAGGGCACCTGTTCCATTCAGGCCAGGGCACATGCCAGGGTTACTGGCTTGATCCCAAGTAGGGGGTGTGCAGGAGACAACTGATAGATGCTGATGTTTCTCATGGATGTTTCGATCACTCCCTCTTTCTAAAATCAATCAAAACATACTTTAAAAATAATAATAAAGGTATGCCGAAACCGGTTTGGCTCAGTGGTAGAGCATCAGTCGGCGGACTGAAGGGTCCCAGGTTCGATTCCGGTCAGGGGCATGTACGTTGGTTGCGGGCACATCCCCGGTAGGGGGTGTGCAGGAGGCAGATAGTTGATGTTTCTCTCTCATCGATGTTTCTAGCTCTCTGTCCTCTCCCTTCCTCTCTGTAAAGAAATCAATAAAATATATTTAATAATAATAATAATAATAATAATAATAAAGGTAGCCTTTATTAAGGCAGAATTTTAAAGAAATGAATGAATCTGAGGACATTTGCTTAGTGAAATAAGCCAGTCACAGAAAGACAAATATGGTGTGATTCTATTATATGAGGTTCCTGAAGTAATCAAACTCACTCAGAAAGAGTTTGGTTGCCAAGGGCTGTGGGGAGGGGAGAGTGGAGAATTAATGGACACAGAATTTGTTTTGCAATACGAAGAGTTCTGGAGATCAGTTGCATAACAACGTGAATGCACTTAACACTTCTGAACTGTACACTTCAAAGTTAAGATGGTCAAGTTTGTGTATTCTACCACAAAGACAAGTTTTTAAATTTAACAGTCCCCTCATTTTATGGTCTATATCCAATGACCACATTTCCAATTCTTATGAAGTCAAACTTTTCCAGCCCAATGGGGTTATTTGAATTAGGATCCAAATAAAAACCACAAGTTGCCATGCATTGTCTCTTAAATCGCTTTTATTTTTTAAAAATATATTTTATTGATTTTCACAGACACGAAGAGAGAAGGATAGAAAGTTAGAAACATTAATCAGCTGCTGCCTGCACACCCCCTACTGGGGATGTGCCCGCAACCAAGGTTCATGCCCTTGACTGGAATCGAACCCGAGACCCTTCAGTCCCCAACCTGACGCTCTATCCACTGAGCCAAACCAGCTAGAGCTTAAATCGCTTTTAATCTATAATTTCCCCTTCTCCCCTTCGTTGCAATTTATGCTAATAAACAATGTCTTTTGTCCTGTGGTTTCTCCCAGCTTAGATTCTATGTTGCCTGCATCCCGTGGTATCCTTTAACACTTCCCTCCAGCCTCTGTATTCCCAGTAAATTGGTATTTGGACCTAGAGGCCCTGGGCTAGGTGTTTTGTTTTGTTTTGTTTGGGGGGTGTGAGGGAGTGTGAAAAGACTAGTTTTGATTTAGTCTCAGAAGGAATCCAAGCCGCTGAAACCAGTTTTGCTCAGTGGATGGAGCGTAAGCTTGTGGACTGAGGGGTCCTGGGTTTGATTCCAACCAAGGGCATGTACCTTCGTTGTGGGCACATCCCCAGGGCGGGTGGGGGTGTGCAGGAGGCAACTGATGGATGTTTCTAACTCTCTATCCCTCTCCCTTCCTCTCCGTAAAAAATCAATAACATATTTTTTAAAAAAAAAAGAGAGAGAATCCAACTCCACGGGCCGGCCCAGCCGGACCTGAAAAGGCGAAGCTAAGCCACCCTAGGCGCTCAGAGCGCCGAAGCCGCCGGTGGCACAGCCAGGCGGAGCCGCGGGCCAGGGGGCGCGGCCAGCGCCGTGGGAAAAGCCCTTTGTCCGCCTTCCACGCGCGCGCCAGCTCATGACACGCACAGCCGGGGGCGGGGCCTGCGGCCGGAAGTGACGCGCGCGCGCCGGCGTCCGAGCAGTCATAGAGGCGGAGGGGCGGCTAGACGGGCCGCGGGGGGTCCCACTTCCGGCCGTGTCTCCGGGAGTCGGCTTTGTGCGGTGGGGGCTGCCCAGCCCTGGTGTCCGGCGGCCGGCCCGGGCCCGCGGCGGGATGTTCCGCGGCCTGAGCAGCTGGCTGGGCCTGCAGCAGCCGGTGGCGGACGGCCGCCCGGTCGAAGGGGATGGGCCGCCGGCGGGAGGAGCCCCCCCGGAGCCGCACTCCGAGGCTGCAGCGGAGCCGGCGGAGCCGGCGGAGAGCGAGCTGCTCCACCAGGCCAAGGACCTCGGCGGTGAGTCGCCCGCGTCCGGGTGGAAGGTGTCGGGGAGGGAGGAAGGGGTGTCTGTCGATCGATCCCCTTGGGAGAGCTTGGTGGGGACCCGGGCAGAGCCGGGGCTCCATCCGGCAGTCAGATCCCGAACCCCAAGTTCCTCGTGACATCGTGACACATGTCCCCGTACCAAGTGGAAGACATCGGGGGCAGGGCCGCAGAAAGGGCTTTCGGGGGGACAAGGGATCTTTTTTGTCCAGCTCCCCAACTTCTACAGCCCCCCCCCCCTGTTGTGGGGCGTGCAGGAGGCAGCTGATCGCTGTTTCTCTCCCATCGATGTTTCTAACTCTCTATCCCTCTCCCTTCCTCTCTGTAAAATATCAATAAAATATAGTTAAGAAGAAGAAAAAAAAAGATATCCAACTCCATCACCCAAGGCGCTTGAGTGGGTTGAAAAAGGGACTTTGTGTCCTCAGGGCAGAATGTGTTTTCGGAAGTTAATTGAGGAAGAGGTACTGGCCTCGGTGAGGCCGGCTCCTTTTGAGGTGCAATGGGACCTTTTCCCTTAAGGCAGCAGAGGAGCTGCCAAGTTTTGTCCGTGGCGTTCCAGTTTCCGTCCTGGATGTTTTATGAACCTTATCTTTTTTTCATCTGTTAAACATCCCCGTGCCCTGGGAGACAAGCCTAGAGTTCTCACCCTCAGTTATTGTCATAGTAAGTGGAGTTTGGACCTAGATCTAATTTCAAAGCCCGTGCTCTCTGCGAGTTTACTGTCTAGTAGGGAGGAGGGTAAAAGTAGGCTTGAAAGATCAACACATGCTCCAGTAGTTCTGATTTTAGAGAGACTTTAGCGGGCTTAATCAAAGAAAACGTCTTTGAGAAGGAAGACCCTAAAGCAGACAGCACTAGGGGAGAACTGCAGCAAAGGTAGCGATTAAATTTATTTTAAAATAGTTTATTGATTTTCCACAGAGAGGAATAGAGAGGGAAAGAGAAGAAACATCGATGGGAAACATGGATCAGCTGCCTCCTGCACACCCCCCACTGGGGATATGCATGCAACCAAGGTACATGCCCTTGACCGGAATCGAACCCGGGACCCTTGAGTCCGCAGGCTGACGCTCTGTCCACTGAGCCAAACGGGCAGGTAGGTATTAAATTTAGCAAGCGTTTAAAAAGAATCTACCTTTCTGGTGTGGCTCAGTGGATGGAACGTCAGCCTGCGGACTCAAAGGTCCCGGGTTCGATTCCGATCAAGGGCATGTACCTCGGTTGTGGGCACATCCCCAGTGGGGGGTGTGCAGGAGGCAGCTGGTCGATGGTCCTCTCTCATCAATGTTTCTAGCTCTCTATCTCTCTCCCTTCCTCTCTGTAGAAAATCAATAAAGTATATTTTTAAAAATAATAAAATAAAATAAATAAAAAGAATCTAAATGGCAAGAGCACTAGGGGAGGCAGGAGCCTGAGAGTGGAGAAACACATATTTGAATAAGAAAGGCTCTATACATTCAAAAATGTTACTTCAAAGGGGAGGGCCACCGGGGGAGCAGGCGGGGCTGGTGTGGCCAGGCCTGGAGCAGCGGCTGCCAGGCTGGGAGTGGCCAGGCCCGGGGGAGCAGGCGGGGCTGGTGCGGCCAGGCCCGGAGCAGCGGCTGCCAGGCTGGGAGCGGCCAGGCCCGGAGCAGCAGCAGCCAAGTCCAGAGCAACTAGGTCGGGAGTGGCAGTGACCAGACCCGGAGCAGCTGGTTGTGGAATGAACCAGAGCAACAGAGGCCAGGCCCTGAGCAGCCAGGTCCGGAACAGCTCGCTCCTTGCCTGCCCCTGCCCCACGGCTGCTTCTCAGTCATGGCTGGAAACTTTCATGGGAACTTGAGGGTCTGCTGAATCAAGTGATGAAGGCTTAGATCTGGATGTGTTGAGTTAGTTTAGGACTGGGGTGTTGATCTGTGAGTGCCTTGGGTGGGGCCTGGATGAGGCTGGTGGACCTATTGGGAAATGTCTTTTGTGTGAAGTGTATCATTGGGCATGTGGAGGTATTATTGATATGAGAAAATGCTAAGTAACTGATTTACTATCTGAAAAGGGATTTACTATTGGGGAAATTGAGGGAAGAAGAGACTGATCATAAACTGCACCTATGGATGAGGACAATGGGAGATGGGGAGGGGGCAGAGGGTGGGGTGGGAACCTGGTGGAGGGGGGAAGAAATGAGGAACCTTTGTAATAATATGAACAATAAAGATTGATTAAAAAACAAAAAAACAAAAAACAAAACAAAGGGGAGGGCCAGGGAAAACAGACTTAACCTGAAATCATGGTGGTACATAATCTCAGTCCAAGGGCCCCAAACAGTGCACAGAGTCATAAAACTAAGTCCTGTGTATAGAATCACTAAGAGGGAGTGAATTTTTCCTGTGTAGAAAACTAGGAAGAGCTTAGAGTATTGGAGAGGTGTGAGAAGATGAATTTGACCAGAGCAGAAAGGTTATGTTAGGCAGTTGGCACAGATAAAAGTTAGCAAAAGTAGAGTAAGGGGATTTACCTGCTTTGCTATAACACAGAGAACCATTTTCATTTTTTTAAAATGTTTATTTTTTTTTTCAGAGATAAAGGGAGAGAGAGAGAGAGAGAGAGAGAGAGAGAGAGAAATACATCAATGATGAGAGAGAATCATTGTGACCTCCTGGTTCATAGGTCAACACTTAACCAGTGAGCCACACTGGCCGGGCCATTTTCATTTATCTTAAAGGAAGGTATCAAAAGTGGCTTCTGGCGCTAGTTGGTTTGGTTCAGAGGATAGAGCATCAGCCTTCAGTCTAAAGGGTCCCAGGTTTGAAACCAGTCAAGGACACATGCTCAGGTTGCATACTGGATCCCCAGTGGTGGGGCACACAGGAAGCAACTGATCAATGATACTCTCATTGATATATATTTTTTTAATATATTTTTATTGATTTTGTACAGAGAGGAAGGGAGAGAGATAGTTAGAAACATCGATGAGAAAGAGAGTCATCGATCAGCTGTCTCTTGCACACACCCTACTGGGGATATGCCCGCAACCAAGGTACATGGCCTTGACCGGAATCGAACCTGGGACCTTTCAGTCCCCAAGTCGACGCTCTATCCACCGAGCCAAACCGGTCTCGGCTCTCATTGATATTTCTATTTCTCCCTCTCCCTTCCTCTCTGAAATCAATAAAAAAAATATATATATATTTTTTAAAAATGGCTTCTGGCCGAAACCGGTTTGGCTTAGTGGTAGAGCGTCGGTCTGTGGACTGAAAGGTCCCGGGTTCGATTCCAGTCAAGGGCATGTACCTTGGTTGCAGGCACATCCCCGGTAGGGGGTGTGCAAGAGGCAACTGGTGGTTGTTTCTCTCTCATCAATGTTTCTAGCTCTCTATCTCTCTCCCTTCCTCTCTGTAAAAAAATCAATAAAATATATTTAAAAAAATAAATAAAAGTGGCTTCTGAAAACTTTGTGAGGGCTTTTTAAAATATATATATATATATATATTTAATTTTTTACAGAGAGCAAGGGAGAGGGATAGAGAGTTAGAAACATCTATGAGAGAGAAACATCCATCAGCTGCCTCCTGCACACTCCCCACTGGGTATATGCCCCAAACCAAGGTACATGCCCTTGACCGGAATCGACCCTGGGACTCTTGAGTCTGCAGGCCAACGCTCTACCCACTGAGCCAAACCGGTTAGGGCGATGTGAGGGCTTTATTAAAAACTTGATGTTTGTATTTAGTATTAAAGACCTCTGAATACTTTTTTTTCTTTTCCTTTTGAATACTTTTTAAATAAATGTGTGTTCAATATGGATGTCTATTACTTTGAAGTGTAATGCTGTGATCTCTTTTCTCACCAGACTCTCCTGATCTTTGGGGAAGCTAAGGTTAGATAGTAGTATTTCCCCCTTTCCATGTCCACACACATTGTGAATTTAAAGTTTCCAAATAAATGCAAGTTCCTTTAGCTCTAATATTCATGTAACTGTTAAAAAGATGTAGAGGTTCTATTTTATACTCAAACCTTCAGAAAGCCAAGAGAGATTATCAGATGTTTGTTATTTCTATATATTGATCAAAAGAGGTATATTATCTGCCGGGACCGGTTTGGCTCAATGGATAGAGGGGACTGAAAGGTCCCGGGTTTGATTCTGGTCAAGGGCATGTACCTTGGTTGCGGGCATATCCCCAGTAGGGGGTGTGCAAGAGGCAGTTGATCGATGACTCTCTTTCTCATCGATGTTTCTAACTATCTCTCTCCCTTCCTCTCTGTACAAAATCAAAAAAAAAAATATTAAAAAAAAGAGGTATATTATCTTTATTTTTGTTTTGTTGTTTTGTTTTTAATCCTCACCCGAGGATATTTTTTTTCCTTGTTTTTTCTTTTAGAGAGAGTAAAAGGGAGGAAGGGAAGGGGAGAGAGAGAGAAACAATGATGTGAGAGAGACATATTGATAGGTTGCCTCCCACAGGCACCCCAACAAGGCTAGGGATCATACCTGCAACCCAGGTACATGCCCTTGACCAGGCATCAAATCCGTGACCCTTGGATGCCTGGGCTGGCACTCTAACCACTAGGAAACACTAGGCAGGGCAAGGTATATTATCTTTAAAAAGACCTATCTATGTTTTTTGTATGCGTTATTTTTTAAATATGTTTATTGATTTCAGGGAAGAAGGGAGAGGGTGCGAGAGAGAGAAACATTGGTGAGAGAGATTCATTGATCCATTGCCTCTTGCGCACACCACTACTAGAGACTGAGTCTGTAGTCCAGCATGTGCCCTGACCAGGAATCAAACCGTGACCTCCTGGTTCAAGGGTCGATGCTCAATCACTGAGCTACACCAGCCGGGCCCATCTTTGTTTTGAAAACTGAAATTAAATATCTCACTTGGCTGACGTGGCTCAGTGGTTAAGCGTTGACCTAAGGACCAGGAGGTCATCATGGTTTGATTCCCAGTCAGAGCACATGCCCAGGTTGGGGCTCGATTCCTGGTGGGGGAGCGTGCAGGAGGCAGCCAATCGATGATTCTCATCATTGATGTTTCCATCTCTCTGTCCCTCTTCCTTCCTCTCTGAAATCAGTACAAATATTTAAAAAAAAAAAAAAAAAGAAAGAAAGAAAGAAAGAAAAAGATTGGACTCTAAATATTTCTAGTTCATGATGACCTTTTTATAAATTTAGGCACCTCATGGGTTAATAGTGGACACCCAGGCCTACATTCCATTTTCTTGTCCAAAAACAGATCTTCCCATCCTGTCCCTCCCTCCAGATAAACTTAGGACCTCCTATGACACCTATTTCAGAGGAGGACAGTTTATAAGGAAACTAACTGAAGAACTTCTCTCTGCCTTCCTGAAGGCCCATGCCCCAAAGTAACTTACAAATTGGTTGTGTGGTTTTGTTAAAGTCAACCAAATTAGAGCTTTATCTGTACTCTTTCTTTAAAATGAAAAGAAAATTGGAGCAGCCAAGTCCAGAGCAACTAGGTCGGGAGCGGCAGTGACCAGACCCGGAGCAGCTGGTTGTGGAATGAACCAGAGCAACAGAGGCCAGGCCCTGAGCAGCCAGGTCCGGAACAGCTCGCTCCTTGCCTGCCCCTGCCCCACGGCTGCTTCTCAGACATGGCTGGAAACTTTCGTAGGAACGTGAGGGTCTGCTGAATCAAGTGATGAAGGCTTAGATCTGGATGTGTTGAGTTAGTATAGGGCTGGGGTGTTGATCTGTGAGTGCCTTGGGTGGGGCCTGGATGAGGCTAGTGGACCTATTGGGAAATGTCTTTTGTGTGAAGTGTATCATTGGGCATGTGGAGGTATTATTGATATGAGAAAATGCTAAGTAACTGATTTACTATCTGAAAAGGGATTTACTATTGGGGAAATTGAGGGAAGAAGAGACTGAACATAAACTGCACCTATGGATGAGGACAATGGGGGATGGGGAGGGGGCAGAGGGTGGGGTGGGAACCTGGTGGAGGGGGGAAGAAATGAGGAACCTTTGTAATAATATGAACAATAAAGATTGATTAAAAAAAAAAAAAGAAAAAAAAAAAGAAAAGAAAATTGGTACCTAGCCAGTGTGCTTAGAGCTTCGGCCCACACACTGAACGGTCTTGGGTTCAATTCTGTTCCAGGGCAAGTACCTCGGTTACAGGCTCGATCCCAGGCCCTGGGTTGGGACATGTGCGGGAGGCAACCAATCTGTGTCTCTCTCATCTCGATGTTTTTTTCTCTCTCTCTGTCTCTTTTCCCTCCTGCTCTCTCAAAAAAAAAAAAAAAAAAAAAAATCAATGGGAAAAATTATCCTCAAGAGGATTAACAAGAAAAAAGAAAAATGGTACCTCTGAGGGTATCAAATATCTGAGTTATTCACACAGTTTAAATAAGTGGGAGGTAGCCAAAGATGAGCGTTGGCTTTTTCAAAACCTTCCCTAAGACCAGTCAATGCCCATGAAGGAAAAGCCAGTTCTTGTACCTTCTCATTGGAAAAGTAGTATTTGTAGTGGAACTGTGTTAATTAGGCCACCCTCTTTTCCTGTATGGAAAATGCAGCTAAGAAGACTCCAAAAGTTAGTGTGTAATAGGAAAATACATGTCTACTTTGAAAAGAAGTAAAAGCCCTAATTCAGTTCTAATGACAAAGATTTACTACAAGGAGGGCAGTACAAATGGTCAAGAGCTTGGATCCCATCCTATACTATATAATAAAAGGCTAGTATGCAAATTTTCCGAACAGCGGGATGACTGGTCACTATGACACACACTGACCACCAGGGGGCAGACGCTCAATGCAGGAGCTGCCCCCTGGTGGTCAGTGCGCTACCACAGGGGGAGCATGGCTCAGCCAGAAGCCCTGAGCAGGACTCATGGCTGGTGAGTGCAGTGGTGGCCACAGGAGCCTCTCCCTCCTTCATGGCATCGCTAAGGATGTCCACCTGCTGGCAGTCAGAAATCCCTCTCGCAGTCCAGGGCTCTCGAGGTCTGGGACCCTTCACTCTTTACCGCCCGCCTGCAGCAGTGGTGGGTGCCACCACCGCTGTGCTCGCCCGCTGTGAACCCGGCTTCTGGCTGAGTGGCACTCCCCCTGTGGGAGCGCACTGACCACCAGGGGGCAGCTCCTGCATTGAGCATCTGCCCCTTGGTGGTCAGTGCACCTCATAGCAACCAGCTGTTCTGCCATTTGGTCAATTTGCATATTAGGCTTTTAGTATATAGGATCATTTGCAAATTGCAGAAAATCCAGCTCCAAATGATAGAAAGTCCCACAGATAGGCTTAATGAGAAGACCTTGATTGCTTGTGTCCAAGGTCCCCAAAACCACCCCCAGATTTTAAGAGCACTCATCAAATTGGGGTTTCTTTGGCAAGGTGGAAGGTGATAGGCTATTGGCTAGGCAGTCAGTGGGGTAGATCTGCCTCTGTCATAATGGACAAATCATTTCTCCTTTGTGAGCGTTGGCTTCCCTATCTGTAAACTGGACAGCTTATATCTACTGTCCAGGATGGTTGTGGGACTAAAAATGACAATGAAAATGAAGATAAAATGACTACGATCAATGTTCCCGTTCTTCCCACATCTTCCATAAGGTTTTGGAGGCGTGCTCACTCACAGATGTTTTACTTCCTTTTTTTTTCCTTGGCTCAGACCCTCTCTTGTGCCTAAATTGCCGAAGTGGACATTGTACTCCTGTTACTTCTTGTTAACTTTATATATATTCTAGAGGCCTGTTGCTCAAAGATTCGTGCAATAGGCCTTTCTTCACCTGGCTACCGGCACCAGTTTTCCTCTGGCACCTGGGACTCAGGCCATCGCTCTGGCCTCTGCCTTCTGCCTTGGCTCCGCAGGAGTCTGCAAGCTTCGCACTGGCTCCCTCCGCCCCCTACCCTGCCCCTCATAGCAGGTGTCCTGCCCCATCCTGCCCCACCCAGCCACTCCACGCCTGGGGGGGTTAGGGGTCAGGGCTGCTGCCATCTTTGTCCTACTAATTTGCATATTCCCTCTTGATTGGCTGGTGGGTGTCACTGTAGTATGGTCAGTTTACATGTTTTTACTTTATCAGTGTAGGGGTGTGTGTGTGTGTGTGTGTGTGTGTGTGTGTTTTATTTCAGAGAGGAGGGAGGGAGAGAGAGAAACATTAATGATGATGATGATGAGAGAGAATCATTGATCTGCTGTCTCCTGCACCCCTCACAGTGTGGGGATCAAGCCTGCAATCTGGGCATGTGCACTGACTGGGAACCAAACAGTGACCTACTGGTTCATAGATCAACACTCAACCACTGAGCCACTAGCTGAGCACATCCTGTTAACTTCTTACTTTAGTCTCAATTTTTTACTAACTAGTTAATAAAAACTGTCTTTAACATGGTGTCAGGTTATCTCTTTGCAAATTAATAAGCCACTTCTTGTCTTTATGAGCTTCTCACTTGAAAATCTCTTGCCATACTCTCCCACTTCCTCTCCCTCTGACTTCAGAATCCAGTCCACTCTCTACTTCCTCCCTTCTCTGAGTGCCTCTGTTTAATGGATACTAGTAATTGTGCTCCTGTGGTTGTCTATAAGTTTTTTGTTCGTTTAGAAATGGCCATTCCTTGGGGGCATAACTGCTTTCTCTGTGTTCAGTATATATCATGTACTTCACCTATGGAGCTATTAAAATCTGAGAATTAAGATTATTATGCTAAAATACATGTTTTTAAAAATATTTTTTTTATTGATTTCATCAAGGAAGGGAGAGGGAGAGTTAGAAACATCAACGTTGCAAGAGAATCATTAATCAGCTGCCTCCTGCACGCCCCCTACTGGGGATCAAACCTGCAACCTGAGCATGTGCCCTGACAGTAATTGAACCATTAGTTCCTGGTTCATAGGTGGATGCTCAACTGCTGAGCCACACCAGGTGGGTAACAAGACAATTTGAAACAGTTGCTGGGGGAGAACCGGGGAGTTTGCTAAGAGTCTTTTTTTTAATTTATTTTTTTATTAATATATTTTATTGATTTTGTACAGAAAGGGTGGGAGAGAGATAGAGAGTTAGAAACATCGATGAGAGAGAGTCATCGATCAGCTGCCTCTTGCACACCGCCTACTGGGGATATGCCCGCAACCAAGGTACATGCCCTTGACCGGAATCGAACCCGGGACCTTTCAGTCCCCAAGCCGACGCTCTATCCATTGAGCCAAACCGGTTTCGGCTGCTAAGAGTCTTTGAAAGAGATGAGTTAAAGGTCTAGGATGGATGGCTAGTCCACCAAGAAAGTGGAGTACTGGCAGTGCTGCGCATTTTTTGTTTCAAGTTCTAATTAACAAGGAACATGCCCTATGGCTTAAGATTCTTGAAAGAACTCTTTAAGGGAGAAATTATAAATACAGTAACCACTGTACTAGAATGGAGCATAAACTCTTCTTTTTATTCTTTATAGGCTATTTATTTAACTTTGCAACTGCTGCTACAAAAAAGATAACTGAATCAGTTACTGAGACAGCACAATCGATAAAGAAATCAGTAGAAGAAGGAAAAATAGATGACATCATCGATAAGGTACATTTAAATATCTTTGGTAGTAGAAATTTATGAAATTCATTAGCTAATATCCTTTTTTTCTTATGAATTTTATTAATTCAAATAGGATAGCATATTCTTTTTAAAAATATGTCTGTTTTTGTTGATTTTAGAGTTAGAGAACATCAATGGGAGAGAAATACTACCGGCTGCCTCCTGCATCCCCCCTGTTGGGGATCCAGCCAATAACTTGGTGAGCAAACTAGCGACGTCTCAGTGCATGGGTCAGTACTCAACCACTGAGCCACACCGTCCAGGCTAGGATATCATATTCTGATAAAAATATTAATAGTTGAGATTCTTGGAATTTTTCTCGTTTTGTGTAACAAATAGCTTTGATATGAATGATCTGATTTAAGTAACCTTGGTTTTTATGTAGTCTAGGTATGTTGATACTTTTTGGGTAACACTAAACTTTTCATATTGTGAGTTTAATTTTCAACTGTTACACTTCAGAATATATTTATTATTTTCATCATTTGGTTATTTTTATTCATTTATTTATTTTTAATATTTTATTTTTATAATTTTTTTATTAAATTATTATCTGTGTACATATTTTACCAAACCCCCCCACCCCCGGTTAATTTTTTAAAGTCTTAGCCCATTAGTAACAATCCTTTTAAGACTCTAATGGGTTGACTTTGTTCATTTTTTTACAGTGGTGAATTTTATGTATGTTGGTAATTATTTGAATTAAGGAGGTCATCAGTTAAACTTTAGCTAGGTTGTCATTTAGATACTTTTCTTGTATGTACTATTTGTTAGAATGAGATTTAATCTATCTTATTTTTGTGAATAACGCTAAAGTTCAGTTTTTAACTCATTTTACTTTTGCATTTGAAAAGATAATTTATCATAAAAGGAGACTGTATTCTTGAAATTAAAAAATGTTGACAATTCCCTCTTGTAGATAGGGTAAACTATCACTTTTTTAGCATTTTTATTTGAAGAAAATGAATAAAATATCTCAAATAGACTTCACAAATCTTGAATGTAGTTCTTTCCTAATAATAACATTTTCAAGGTAATTTGACACTTTATGTATTTAACAGACCATTATAGGAGATTTTCAGAAGGAACAGAAAAAATTTGTTGAGGAGCAGCATACCAAGAAATCAGGTATGGTATAGGTTTGCTGTACACGACTTACTTACCTGCCGAATTTTATTGAGCACTTATTATCAGACACCATGATAAGGCCCTGAGAATACAGAAATGTGTAAGTAATGGCTTCCATTCTTTGGGTAGCACGAACCCATAAACTTTTAGGATTTAAAGGAAGAAAGGCATTGCCAGGACCGGTTTGGCTCAATGGATAGAGCGTCGGCTTGGAGACTGAAGGGTCCCGGGTTTGATTCCGGTCGAGGGCATGTACCTTGGTTGCGGGCATATCCCCAGTAGGGGGTGTGCAAGAGGCAGCTGATCGATGACTCTCTCTCATCGATGTTTCTAACTCTCTATCTCTCTCCCTTCCTCTCTGTACAAAATCAATAAAATATATTAATAAATAAATAAATAAATAAATAAATAAATAAATAAATAAATAAATAAATGAAGAAAGGCATCATTCCCCACGGCTGGGATGGTGGGGAAGGTCAGCCAAAGCAGTACATTTATTTACTGACAAATGCTTATTTAAATGTTTGCAGTTAACAAAATCTCAAAATATCTACTTTTGCCGAAACCGGTTTGGCTCAGCGGTAGAGCGTCGGCCTGCGGACTGAAAGGTCCCAGGTTCGATTCCGGTCAAGGGCATGTACCTTGGTTGCGGGCACATCCCCGGTAGGGGGTATGCAAGAGGCAGCTGGTCGATGTTTCTCTCTCATCGATGTTTCTAGCTCTCTATCTCTCTCCCTTCCTCTCTGTAAAAAATCAACAAAATATATTTTTAAAAAATATTTACTTTTGCCTTTTGATGGTGTTCAAACACAAAACTGGCCTCATGTCATTGAATTTGGCAAAAGTAGGGCCAAATAATTCATTCCATTTGGGCAGTGCTACAGATTCAAAACAGAACCAGTTAGTCCCGTGGCCAATGCCCTTTAGGCATTGTTATGCTTTAGTAAACTCAAAAGTATGAAGCAGCTCTTTGGGATAAATATACTATGCAAATTAGCTCAGCAGCGATTCACGGGAGGGATTAAATTGACCTGTCGACCCTTTTCTCAGTTTTTTTTTTTTCAAATAGTTTATTTTATTTTTAGTATAGTTTAATGATTTTTTTACAGAGAAGAAAGGAGAGAGATAGAGAGCTAGAAACATCCATGAGAGAGAAACATCGACCAGCTGCCTCCTGCACACTTGATACTGGGGATGTGCCCACCACCAATGTACATGCCCTTAACCGGAATCGAACTTGGGACCTTTCAGTCCGCAGGCTGACGCTCTATCCACTGAGCCAAACCAGTTTCAACTCAGTTTTTTTTTTTAGTTTTGTTTCTTTAAATATATTTTATTGAGTTTATACAGAGAGGAAGAGAGAGGGATAGTTAGAAACACTGATGAGAGAGAGACATTGATCAGCTGCCTCTTGCATACCCCCCACTGGGGACGTGCCCACAACCAAGGTACATGCTCCTGACTGGAATCGAACCCGGGACCCTTCAGTCCGCAGACCAACGCTCTATCCACTGAGCCAAACCGGTTTTCGGCTCGTCTCAGTCTCAGTTCTTAACTGCTTATCTTGCAGCCTCCTTATCAAACTTTTTTTCATGAGACAAGTACATTAACTTTTTATAAAAACTATTATTTTTTGGGCCCAGACAGCACTGCTCAGTGGTTGAGTATTGTCCTATGAACCAGGAGGTCACGGTTCGATTCCTGGTCAGGACACATGCCCATGTTCTCATTCCATCCCCAGTGGGGGGCATGTAGGTGGCAGCCGATCCATGATTCTCATCATTGATGTTCCTCTCTCTCTCTCTCTCTCTCTCTCTCTCTCTCTCTCTCTCTCTCTCCCTCCCTCCCTCCCTCCCTCCCTCCCTTCCTTCCTTCCTTTCCCTTCCTCTTTGAAATCAATAAACATATATTTTTAAATCTCTTTAAAAAGAAACACTTTTATTTGGAAATAATCTCAATATATAAAAAAGTTGCAACAATAAAACTAGTACAGAAAATACCCGTATACCTTCTACCCAGATTGTTAGTTTTCCAGCTTTAGGAAATTTAACATTTATCTAATACTCACATTCAAATTTTGTCATTGACCCAATAAAATCCTTTATATATTTTCCCCCTCAACATAGCATCCAGTCCAGGGTACAGGATTGCATTTCTTGTCACATATCTTAGTCTCCCTTAATCTGGAGCATTTCCACAGCCTTTCTTTGTCTTTTATGACATTAGTGGTTTTGAAGAATACCCCTCCTTTTTTATTATTTAATAGACCATTTCTCATTTGAGTTTTGTATGATATTTCCTTGTGATTAGATTATAATTAGATGCAGTTTATGCATTTTTGGCCAGAATACTGCTTAAATAATGTGTCTTTCTCAAGGTATCACATTTGGAGGCCCGCAATGGCCATGTCTCTCTCGATGGTGTTGTTGATTTTGGTCACCGGTGAAGGTGTTGCACAATTTCTTCACTGTATAATTCAAGTAATTTTTTTCCCCCCAAATGCATACATGCATAAGACTTATGCATTAAGTCTGGGAATTATGCCCTAGCCAGTTTCCTCAGTGGTTAGAACATCGGCCTTCGGACTGGAAGGGTCCCAGGTTTGATTCCAGTCAGGAACACATACCTCACTTCAGCTTCCCCGGCCCTCGTCGGGGTCCATGCAGGAGGCAACCAATAGATGTGTTTCTCTCACATCACTCTGTCTCTCCCACTCCCTTTCATCTATCTAAAAATCAATGGAAAAATATCCTCAGATGAGGATTCACAAAAAATAAAAGTCTGGAAATTATGTTGAATGGTCATTTGGAACTCATTAGTAATTTGCTAAAATGGTTGTATGGAAACTTGCTCATTTTTTCAAACCACAATTGCAGAGTAACCCTTGTAACTTGTTTGTTTGTTTGTTTTCTTTTTGACTGTTAAACCTTTCAGAAGCAGCAGTGCCCCCGTGGGTTGACAGTAATGATGAAGAAACAATTCAACAACAGATTTTGGCCTTATCAGCTGTAAGTATCTTGTGGTATTCTGTGTATTATTCGTATCACAATTTTATTTTTAGCAAATGTTTTTCTTCTGTACAACTTTTCAAATCTTTTAAGTTGTTAGGAATGTATGTATCAACTTTCACTATTTTTTTCACTAACTTTTTTTTTTAATAAAAATTATTGTTCATATTATTACAAATGTTCCTCATTTCCGCCCCCCTCCATTGCTCCCCTCCACCGGTTTTTTTTTTTTAATAACTTTTATTGATTTATTTTAGCTAGGAAGGGAAAGGCGGTAGAAAGAGAGAGAGATTTGTTGTCTCATTTATGCATTCATTGGTTGATTCTTATATGTGTGCCCTGACCAGGAATCGAACCTGCAGATTTGGAGTTTCGGATGATGCTCTAACCAACTGAGCTACCCTGCCCGGGCTTTTTTCATTAACTTTTCATTTGTTTCTCCATGAGTATTTTTTCTTAATGGAATAGAAAACCCTATGCAAAAAACATTTTTTTTTTTCATCCTTAAAAGAATGCTTTTGTTATTAAGATGGATAATCTTTTAATATATGCTATCATACAGAGTTTCTAGACAGCATTCTAATTCTTGTGAATGAAGAGATTAATTATATTCTAAGTTTCTTCTTAACTGCTGTATGTATTTGAAAGAAATAAAATTCTATATGCTAGCCCACAAAATTGGGACTTCAGAATCAAACCGTGACCTCCTGGTTCATAGGTCGATGATCAACCACTGAGCCACGCTGGCCAGGCTTGCTTTTCTGATATGACCACCGTGGTTAGCTGACTTCAATTTTGAGTTAGAACGTGTCTAAGATTATCTACACTAGTTTTCACATACCTAACAGTGCCCACTAAAACAAACGTGTTCGTATGACTTCGAACTGTATAATTTCAACTAATTGCAGGATTGAATTTCTTCAAGGCTCTCCAATTGAGACTTAAAAATATGGGAAAGGATCGGCTTTTCTCTGCGCGCGTGCTCTCTCTCTCTCTTTCTTTTTTAAAATATATTTTATTGATATTTTACAGAGAGGAAGGGAGAGAGATAGAGAGCTAGAAACGTCGATGAGAGAGAAACATTGATCAGCTGCCTCTTGCACACCCCCTACTGGTGATGTGCCCGCAACCAATGTACATGCCCTTGACCGGAATTGAACCTGGAACCTTTCAGTCCGCAGACCAACGCTCTACCACTGAGCCAAACCGGTTTCGGCCGATTTTTTTTTTTTAATTTCCTTGGTTTTTAGATTCACTTGTTGATAGTTACGTATTTGTTGTTCATAATTTTTATCTTTATTTACTTTCTCTTCCGAAAGAACCCCCTTCAGCAGTTCATATAATTCTGGTTTGGCGGTGATAACCTCCTTTAGCTTTTTTTATTAGGGAAGCTCTTTTATCTGGCCTTCGATTCTGAGTGATAGCTTTGCTGGATAGATTATCTTTGGCTGTAGGTTCTTACTATTCATCACCTTGAATATTTCTTGCCATTCCCATCTGGCCTGCATGGTTTCTGTTGAGAAATCAGCTGACAATCGTATAGGTGCTCCTTTATAGGTAACTACCTGCTTTGCTCTTGCTGCTTTTAATATTTTCTCTTTGTCTTTTGCTCTTGGAATTTTAATTATGATTTGTCTTGGTGTGGTCTTATTTGGATTCCTTTTGTTTGGAGTTCTGTGCGCTTCCTGGACTTATAAGTCTAATTCTTTCACCAGGTGGGGGAAATTTTCTGTCACTATTTCTTTCAGTATGTTTTCGATATCTTGCTCTCTCTCATCTTCTGGGACCCCCATAATTCTGATGTTGGTTCGCTTGAAGTTGTCCCAGAGGTTTCTTACATTATCTTCAATTTTCTGGATTCTCTTGCCTTCTTGCTTCTACGGAGGAGTGTCTTCTGGCTCTTTATGTTCCAAATCTTTGACTTGATTCTTGCAGTCTTCCATTCTGTTTTTAGGACTCTATAATATTTTTTATTTCAGACAATGTATTCTTTGTTTCTTGTTGATCTCTTGTTATTTCTTGTTGATCCCTTTTCATATCCTCATAGGTCTCGTTTATTTTATCAGCCTTTTCTAGGAGATTCTTGAACAACCTTATAAGTGTGGTTTTGAACTCTATATCCAGTCGCTTTTTGTCCTCCATTTCTTTCGTTTGTGATCTATTTCGTTGTCTTGGCATTTTCACCGCTTCCCTGATGGGGCGGGGTTTCAGGGTGGAGCCTACAGGCTTGGCTTCCATCAGCCACGCCCTATGTGGTTCCTGAGTCTCAGTAATCCCCAGGGTCCTTCAGTACTCGCTGCAAGCACCTCTGAGAGAAAGGTGCCCTCGAGTTTCGCCTGCTACCAAACAGTGTAGGCTCTCCCCCAATGAACCCGGAACTGGGGTTCAGTTCAGTTGGAAGTGGGGTTGGAGGTGGCGTTCAGAGCATTCTGGATCTATTGTCTCCTTCCCGCCAGGGCAATCCTGCGGCACAGCCAACCGTCCCTTCTCTGCGCGCAATGTGCGAGCCTCCGGGACCTCCTTTCGCCGTTCCCCCGGGATTCTGCCTTACAGCCCAGCTCCCTCTGTTTGAGCCTGGGTCCCCGGGGTCTGGCCTAGAACTGGGGTTCAGAGGAATCGGAACTGGGGCCCAGCACAGTCCGGAGCCTTTGTCTCCTTCCCGCCAGGGCAACCTGGCAGCAAAGTCAACAGTCCGTCCTCTGCGCACAGTGTGCGTGCCTCCAGGACTGCCTCTCGGCGCGCGCCCCCCGTGTCTTCGTACCTCAGGCTTTTACAGCTCCGCTCTTCCTTCTGGTTTCCTCCTTGCTTCTCGTTGTAGAATTTCCAGTCAATCGACTTTCCTGTAATTCTGGGTAATGTCCATTTTATATTTTAGTTATATTTTATTGAAATTGTTGTGTGCGGCTGCGGCTAGGTGTTTACCTGCGTAGCCATCTTGGATTCTCTCGGTACATATTAATTGTGTTCTGTGGTTTTTCCCTTTTGCATCAAAGGACAAGAGGAACTTCCTCCGTGACCCTCCCATCGGCGTGCAGTTTCATTTCGACTTTGATCAGATGTACCCCGTTGCCCTGGTCATGCTCCAGGAGGATGAACTGCTGAGCAGGATGCGATTCGCCCTCGTTCCTAAACTGTAAGCACTGGATTCGCGAGCCTGAGGGGCGCTGCTCACAAAACGTGTATTTGCATTTTCTTGCTTTTTAAAAACTATTTTTATTGGTTTTAAAGAGGAAGGGAGAGAGAGAGAGAGATTGAAACATGAATGATGAGAGAGAATCCTTGATCGGCTACCTCCTATGTGTCCCCTACTGGGGATTGAGCCCACAACCTGGGCATGTACTCTGACCAGGAATCAAACCGTGACCTCCTGGTTCATAGGTTGATGCTCAGCCACTGAACCATGCTGACTGGGCTGTATTTGGATTTTGTCATTGTCTTGGTGGTGTGCACAGTATCAGGGGAGAATTATGGAACAGGAGCCAGGAAAGTCTCAGACTCTCTTCATAAAAATGGGCTCTGTGGCCCTTCAGCACCATTCTCTCTCTCTGTATCTCTCTCTCTCTCTCTCTCTCTCTCTCTCTCTCTCTCTCTCTCTCTGTATCTCTGTATCTCTGTATCTCTGTATCTCTCTGTGGCCCTTCAGCACCATTCTCTCTCTCACACACACACATTCACGGTGCCATAGAATCAGAATGAAGAGTGGACTTTTGGGAACGTGGGGTGAAGCTGAGATGTGAGATGTGCTCTTTCATCCCTGCTCAGAAGGTAGAGTGCATTTACGTTAATGTCTGTGAGGCCCGTCAGGACCGGCTGCTGCCTTTCCTGCTCTGCTCTGCTCCCCAGCAGCACTGTCCTTGTCCTCTTTCCCATCTGAGGCTTCTCTGCCCAGAGGCACTATCCCCTCCCCAGGTTCCTGCCTGCCCTTGAAGTTCCAGCACAAGCATAACGTCTTCTGTGCTGGCCCTCAGCAGTGGGCCCTCTTCTCCTCCCCTCTGCCACCACAGGCTCTTCCTCGCCTTTTCTAATTCCAGTCCCTGGTTTTGAGGGTCACATTTCCAGAGTCAGCAACATGAGTATTCCATTTTCTAGCGCTATGTTCTTACTGTATGGGTGCAGTGTCTTGCTGTTCTCTGAGGACATGAAGAGCAGTTCTTTTTTAAAAAAAAAAATATGGTGGTTTTTAAAAAACATGTATTTTTTTTATTGAAGGGAGAGGGGAGAGAGAAATAGAAACATCAATGATGGGAGGGAATCATTGATTGGCTGCCTTCTGCACGCCTCCTACTGGGGATCGAGCTGGCAATCCCAGGCATGCTGGAATCGAACCTGGGACCCTTCAGTCCACAGGCTGACCCTCTATCCACTGAGCCAAATCAGCTAGGGCATGGTGGCTTTTTTTTAACTGAAGATAACTCTCTTCTCTCTGCTTTTTTCTGTGAATTTTTGTGTGGCCACACTCAAGGGGCCAAAGAGCCGCAGGTGGCTCGCGAGCTGCGGTTTGCCAACCACTGAGCCAGGGCAATGGTGGTGTTTCTTAAAGTTATGTCCCGGGTACATGGGGATTCTTTTTTCTAGTCTCTCCACTTGGGTTGAAATTTCCATAATAATACAAAACAAAAATGAGCCATCACACACAAATAAGGAGTGCTCCTTCTGACACGCAGAAATGCAACTTTGATCATTTGAGACACTTTTTTTTTCTTTCTTTTTTAATATATTTTATTGATTTTACATAGAGAGGAAGGAAGAGGGATAGAGAGCTAGAAACGTCGATGAGAGAGAAACATCGACCAGCTGCCTCCTGCACACCCCCCACCGGAGATGTGCCCGCAACCAAGGTACATGCCCTTGACTGGAATCGAACCTGGGACCCTTCAGTCCACAGACCGGCAGCTGATCGATGTTTCTCTTTGACATTTCTAGCTCTCTATCTCTTTTCCTTTCTCTCTCTTAAAAAATCAATAAAATATATTTTAAAAGAAGAAAAAAAAAGAAAAAGAAAATATTCAGGCTGCTCACTACCTCATGGGAAAGTTAACCTCACTTTTGTATGGCTGTGGTGTTATGGTGTAAGGCCCCTGAATTTACCCCGGTAACTGCCCTAGGTTCTGCATTTGTTCCCCGGGTGTCTAAGTCTGTGTACCCTTCACCTTCCCGTGATTACCTTCTGAAAGGAAGTTTTCCGAAGTGGGTATGGTGTGTGGTCTGATGGCAGAAGAGAGCACTGTAGGGAATCTGTGTGCAGCCTAATACTTCCTTAGCTCTTCCCGCAGCTGTAGCATACTGATATTTCTACGCTAAACTTGTAGTCGGCTAGAAGTCCTTACTAACTGCTGTTACACCAAGTCTCCCTCCTGCCAGACTACTCCCCACAGGTGCTATAAGAAAAAGAGACTTCTCCGAAACCGGTTTGGCTCAGTGGATAGAGCGTCAGCCTGCGGACTGAAGGGTCCCGGGTTCGATTCTGGTCAAGGGCACATGCCTGGGTTGTGGGCTTGGTCCCCAGTCGGGGGGCGTGCAGGAGGCAGCCAATCAATGGTTCTCTTTCATCGTTGATGTTTCTATCTCTCCCTCTCCTTTCCTCTCTGAAATCAATAACAATAAAATAAAATATGAAAGCCCCCCCAAAAGGAGGGGTCTATTAAAAGAGAGAGAGAGAGAGAGAGAGAGAGAGAGAGAGAGACTTCTGAGGCCACATGAGTTTGGGAAATGCTTCTTGGCACGTGGTCAGAACTGAGCAAGTAAGAGGTCCTTATAGCCGTGAGCATCTGTGTTGACAACTTGTCTTATCCATCCCTAACCTGCCCCCCAGCACCTAGCATGGTGCCTAGTGCACGTGCGCTCAGTAAATGTTGGCGGGATTAGCTGAAACCGGGGTGGCTCAGTGGATAGAGTGTCGGCTTGCAGACTGAAAGGTCCCGGGTTTGATTCCGGTCAAGGGCATGTACCTTGGTTGCAGGCACATCCCCAGTAGGGGGTGTGCAGGAGGCAGCTGGTCGATGTTTCTAGCTCTCTATCCCTCTCCCTTCCTCTCTGTAAAAAATCAATAATATATATATATTTTTTTTAAAAATGTTGGCGGGATTAATGAAAGAAAAGATGGCTGTATCTAGCGTCATGTCAGCTTGTTACCTGGCCTGGTTTGGGGAAATAATCTTGCATTTTGCCTGTGGCACTTTAAAAGCTAGCTTCCTGGCCTAGTAGCTATTTACCGATGTGAACACCCTGCGTTCTGATATCCTGTCCTCATTCACAAGCCCTGTCCTCAGTGTTTTTTTAGTTCTCACTGGTTTTCTTCTACTCCTTCCAAGTTTTCCTGTCAGACTTTCTTCCTTGATATTCCCCCATTCTAAGAACCTTCTAATAAAGCAGGAGGTAAAGAGACATACTCTTGTCATTTTTACTAGCAAAGCATTTTTAAAATTAAAACAACTCCTCCAGGCAAAACAAACAAACAAACAAACAAAACAAGAACAAAAAACACCACACACATCCCACAAGTCGCCAAAGCTGTTCCTTGGCTGACCTTGGTTTGGGGGTTGATTCTATAAATCAGCAAATTTATAGAAAGGTGAGAAGCACAGTCTAAAGAACTTTTTTCTGAGTCATTCTGACGCTCCATCATTCATGATTACTTTAGTGTGTATTTTCTACAAACAGGATTTTTCTGCATAACTTCTATGTATCCACCCAAATCAGGAAATGTCACTTCCTGCTTTTTACTCTCTTAATTCTCAGACGCCATTCTGGTTTTACCACATGTCCCAGTAATACCTTTCTTAGCGAAAGGATCCAGTTCAGACTCACATGTTGCAACATCAACCATCTCCCACCTCGGTGCTAACTCCTACAGATTGCTAGTTATTTGCAAGCTACCAGACACTACCTTTCATAAGGAACAACACCCTCAGTCCTTTCTTTTCACTGCTTGCACGCTCTTAATTCTTCAGCGAACAGCAAATAATGGGTGAGTCCTGGCGCTGTTTCCAGTTTCCCAGATGATCGTGCTGTCAGCAGCACCCAGTCTTCCTTTGCTGAAGGAAATTTGGTATCATTAAAATACCCCAAAACGCTGAGGCTCTGTAAGTTTTCTTTTACCCTGTTTTTCAGCTTTCATTTCAAAAGCAAATAAGCCCAACTGTCATGGCTCAATGGTTGAGCATCAACCTATGAACCAGGAGGTCATGGTTCGATTCCTGGTTGTGGCAAATGCCCAGGTTTTGGGTTCAATCCCCAGTAGGGGGCAGGTAGGAGGCAGCCAATCAATAGTTCCCATCATTCATGTTTCTCTCCCTTCCTCTCTGAAATCAATAAAAATATATTAGCAAACAAAAACAGTAAGCAAATAAGAACTTTTTGGAGCCCCCCCTTAGATTTGCTAATGCCCCTAAAAATCATCTGTTCCAATCTCCATGCAACAAATAAGCCCTGCATGCATCTGTGTGCCTGCATGCTCACATGTGTTGTTGTTTGTCTTTAAAAGCGTGAAGGAAGAAGTGTTTTGGAGGAACTACTTTTACCGCGTGTCCCTGATTAAGCAGTCAGCCCAGCTCACCGCCCTGGCCGCCCAGCAGCAGGCTGCCGGAAAAGAGAAGAGCTTTGGCAGAGACGATGTGTTGCCACTGACAGGTATATTCAGAGAACTTGCTGTGAAAAGGAGAGTTACTTTTAAAATATTCTTAATGTAGACACCCTCATGAGCTTGTCATCTTGTATGTGCTAGGAATGTCATCATTATCTAAAGGAAAACTCTTCTTTCCAGAAGATAACGCTCTCTCTCACCCACCTGACAAGTCTTCACCAAACTTTACTTTGCTATCTTTTTCTTATTCCTCAGGTTTTGTTTTTAAATATGTTTGTATTTCAGAGAGAGGAAGGGAGAAGGGGAGAGAGATGGAAACATCAATGATGAGAGAGAATCATTGATTGACTGCCTCCTGCACACCCTCTACTGGGGGTCAAGAACAAAACCCAGGCATGTACCCTGACCTGGAATCAAACTATAATCTCCTTGTTCATGGTTCCACACTCAACCACGGAGTATTCCATTCAACCCAGTGTCTCCCAGTGCTGTAGTCTGTAGAGCAGAACTAAGCTCCATTCCACTCCAAGTTACAAATACCCAGCTCAGAGCCAGGCACCATTAAATTACACATTTGATTCTTGTGACAGTTTACCTCTGGTTGTTCGGGAATGATTTAATATCAGCAATGACTTAATGTCTGTAAGAATAATTAAAATAAGTACATCTTTTTTTTTTTAAATATATTTTATTGATTTTGTACAGAGAGAAAGGGAGAGAGATAGAGAGTTAGAAACATCGATGAGAGAGAGTCATCGATCAGCTGCCTCTTGCACACTCCCTGCTGGGGATGTGCCCACAACCAAGGTACATGCCCTTGACCGGAATCGAACCCGGGACCCTTCAGTCCCCAAGCCGACGCTCTATCCATTGAGCCAAACCGGTTTTGGCTAAGTACATCTTTTTAACATGTTTTTATTTACTTTTTAAAGAGAGGGATAGATAGACACATTGATGAGAAACATCGATTGGCTGCTTTCTGCATGCTCCTTACTGGGGATGGAGCCTGAAACCCAGGCATGTGCCCTGACCAGGAATTGAACCAGTGATTTCTTGGTTCATGGGTCAGTGCTCAACCACTGACCCACACCAGCTAGGCAATTTTGTTTTATTTTTAACATTTTATGACTATCTGCTTTGTATAGGTATTATTTACAACTGGAGACATTTCCATTCATGGAATTTTATTCTATTTTATTTTTTTATAATAAATCTTTATTGTTCAGATTATTATAGGTTTTCCCCTTTCCCTCCTTCTTCCCCCATAGCTCTCCTCCACCTGATTCCCAACTTCACCTCATGCCCTTACCTGTCTTCATCCATAGGTGTAAGAAATTCATGGAATTGAAAATAATTATGCATAGTGGTGTGTCCTAAAGATTGGGTAGTTCAGACCACTTATGTAATGAAATTGCTCTGCACAGCTGAAACCGGTTTGGCTCAGTGGATACAGCATTGGCTTGCGGATTCAAGGGTCCCGGGTTCGATTCCGGTCAAGGGCATGTACCTTGGTTATGGGCACATCCCCAGTAGGGGGTGTGCAAGAGGCAGCTGATCGATGATTCTCTCTCATTGATGTTTCTAACTCTCTATCCCTCTCTCTTCCTCTCTGTAAAAAACCAATAAAATATATTTTTAAAAAAAGTTAAGAAATTGCTCTGCACAGTGAAAGTTGGCATTTTACATATAGATGTTTATATGAATCCAAGTGTCTGTCATTCTTTTGTATTTTCTTTTATTAATTTTATTGGACAATACAATTTTACCAAATACTGCCTATGTAACAAAAGGGGCATAAGACAGGGCTCATTGAAGACTGTATATCTAGTAAGTTTTATAAGTTGGCAAAAAGTAGCCATGAGAAAAGGAGAAGCTGTGATTGAGCATTGCACTTTTCTTTGAACTTTCCAGCATTTGTGACAAGAGGAAAATTTGGTAAATTACTTAATTCGCATTGTCCTAAAAGAAAGAGCAGAACTATCCTTTATTTCCTGCTGTCAAGCTTGTATAATGGGCACCGAATATGATGACATGTTTAAAATATCCCCAAAAGGCCAAAGCCGGTTTGGCTCAGTGGATAGAGCGTCGGTCTGCGGATGGAAAGGTCCCAGGTTCGATTCCGGTCAAGGGCATGTACCTTGGTTGCGGGCACATCCCCGGTAGGGGGTGTGCAGGAGGCAGCTGGTCGATGTTTCTCTCTCATGGATGTTTCTAGCTCTCTATTTCTCTCTCCCTTCCTTTCTGTAAAAAAATCAATAAAATATATATTTAAAAAATAAAAATAAAAAATAAAAAAAAATATCCCCAAAAGAGAGGTTGGGATGGTTTCACCAGGCTATTGTATCTAATTAAAGGGTAATATGCAAATTAACCATCACTCCATCACAAAGATAGTGGTGCCCATAGCCCATAGCCACAAGTCCTCTCACTCCTGTTGAAGTCCGTCGGTCCCAGAGGGCCAGCCACTGAGAGTGGGCAGTGTGAGCAGCCTGGCGGAATGTTTGCTTTTTCACCGCGGTGACAAAGGCAAGCATTCCATGCTGGTCACAGAGGGCCTCTGGGCAGCAGGTGTGGGGGCGGGGGAGGGGGAGTTATGCTTGCGTTGTCACCCTGACAACAGGGCAAGTGTTCTGCACCTGGCCATGGATGGGCCTCTGGCCAGAGGGCACCAAGTGGCCAGGCCCCACAGAGAGCTACTGGCGCACTAATTCGTTTTTTTTTTTTTTTAATAATATATTTTATTGACTTTTTACAGAGAGGAAGAGAGAGGGATAGAGAGTTAGAAACGTCGATGAGAGAGAAACATCGACCAGCTGCCTCTTGCATACCTCCCACCGGGGATGTGCCCGCAACCAACATACATGCCCCTGACCGGAATCAAACCCGGGACCTTTCAGTCCGCAGACCGACGGTCTACCACTGAGCCAAACCGGTTTCGGCTCGTTTCTTATAATAATGTAAAAAGTGAAAACATATCATCAAAAGTTCATTCCTGTAGGTTACCTAGTATCATTAAACTTGTTGACTTTTTAGTTGTTACTATTTTGTGTATTCAGAATTGAATCAAGCAATTATTGTCTCTCTTATTCTTACTTCTTAGAGGCAGTACGGCCCAAAACGCCACCTGTCGTAATCAAATCTCAGCTTAAAACTCAAGAGGTAATACAGTTTTACATTGTACCTAGTATCATAGTTGATGTCTGGAAATAAGTCATTGTGTTAACTATCTGAGATTCCATTTCAAATGAATACAGGCCTTCTCTGAAGAAGAGGGGTCGGGTACTTGTATAGTTAAGGACCTGCAGCTCAGACTTGAGGCAATTCCCTGGCACAAATCATTGTAGGTGTGCTCACCGGGGATTGGACAGAATGATTGGAGTGATCCTTACTGTGATTGAACCCAATAGATTCAGGCTGTAACTTGTTTCGTTACCAATCAACTGTGCAGGTGAGAAGGTTGGAGAGCAGTGATTATTGGGTCAGCAGAGGGAGGAAACGAAAATTATGCTGTATTAAGCTGTGAGGTGACCATGAACAAGAGGTCTAGGCTATAAATGTCTCTTAGAAAGCTGTTGCCAGAGCTGCTTTGTTGCATTTCAGGATGAAGAGGAGATTTCTACCAGCCCTGGCGTTTCTGAGTTTGTCAGTGATGCCTTTGATGCCTGTAACATAGACCAGGAGGATCTGAGGAAGGAAATGGAGCAGCTTGTGCTTGACAAAAAGCAGGAGGAGACACCCGTACTAGAAGGTACAAAACAAAATAGCTGCTCTGTCCCCCATTCTGATGTTTATTGTAGGTCGTTATTATGACGCAGGTGTACAAAAATATGCTATAAGCCGAAACCGATTTGGCTCAGTGGATAGAGCATCGGCCTGCGGACTGAAAGGTCCCGGGTTCAATTCCGGACAAGGGCATGTACCTTGGTTGCGGGCACATCCCCAGTAGGGGGTGTGCAAGAGGCAGCTGATCGATGATTCTCTCTCTCATCGATGTTTCTAACTCTCTATCTCTCTCTCTTCCCCCGTGTAAAAAGCCAATAAAATATATTTTAAAAAAAATGCTATAACTTTTGCATTGGAATTGTTTCTCTGTTCACTAGAGGAAGGATTCTAGCACACATGACCAGATCTCACACCCCTCTGCCCTAAACATGCACAGAAGCTCAGAGAGGAGGAACAGGCCCGGTGATGCATCCCCGGCCTCTCAGCCCGAGGACAGTTGGCCAGGATTGGAGGAGAAACAAGTACACCTTTCACACGGAGGTGTTGCCCTCTGGCGCTCTGCTTTAAAAGCAGGCACCCTCCTTAGGTTTATGCTTCTCTCTAGAAGCTTCTTTTACTAGCTGCCACAAAAGCATCGCTTCTGGAAGAAGCAGGCTGCCTCTAAAATACTCAACTAGTTTCAAAAAAAAAAAAAAGTGCAAGCGGGGGGTGGCTTTCTTTGACACATCAGGACAATTATTGGCTTTCTACTAGATAAAAAGCAAAGGTGTGGGTCAGTGGTTGAGTCGACCCGTGCACCAAGAGGTTGCCAGTTCGATTCCTGGTCAGGGCACATGCCTGGGTTGTGGGGTGTACAGGAGGCAGCCGATTGATGGTTTCCTTCTCATCGATGTTTACCTCTCTCCCCCTCTCCTTTCCTCTCTCTGTAAAAATCAACTAAAGATATTTAAAAAAAAAAAAAAAAGGCAAAGGCCTGGGCCCATCATTAGATGAAAACTGTTCCTTGAAGCCTTCTGAGACTTAAAATTCAGGGAGTCGGCTGTTCTTATAGGTTGTGCAGAGAGCACCGGTCAAAAAACTGGCCCGTCTCCCAAAGGCTGGCTCCTGGCTGTTCCAGAGAGCTGTTCTTTCTCTGAATCCCTGCCCTACTTGTAATTTGGGCCACTTAATATTCCTCTCTACAGTAGTCTTGGCTCCCAGCTCAATTGTAAGTTCCTCAAGGGCAGTTACACCCTGTTTTATAACACTGCACTGCAGATGCTTTGTTCCTTGCATACATATGCACATAGGTACACGCATACACACAGGTATATTGAATGTTCAAGCGGAAAGTTGCAGCTCTACATCTCAACATGGAAAACAAGTGTGAGAGCTCAGATGGAGCCTACACGAGGGGCCAGGCTTTAGCAAGAGACCGCCTGGCTTCCTGTCACTCTCAGGCCATTTGGATATTTATAACATCATTCACTTAAAATAATTCACTAAATTCATGTTGCTATGAGAAAAGCTCCTAGCTTTATTGCATTTCCAGTCCTACCTGTGGTTGCCTTGGCAGGGCCAGATCAAATGATTTCGTGGGCTTTATACGGCCCGCGGGCCAGACGTCCCCCACCCCTGCTGCAGGGAGACTGCTGCTAAAGTGGTGAAGCGCGTGCTGTAGAACCCGCACATCTAGTTCCATACGTGCATCTTGCTGTCAAGCTGTGTGATCTTGGGCAAATCCCTTCACCTCTCTCATCTCCATTTCCCCATCTGTAAAATGTATCTAACAGTGGTATCTAGTTCATGGATTATTCTAAGGAAGAAAAAAAAGAGTGATATGTAGAGAATGGTTAGTGCAGTGCCTAACTTAGCAAGTGCTCAAGAAATGTTCGCTGTCTTTGCTATTGTTATCATTGTTAATGGTAAAAATTAATTAGCAACCAAATATTATCAATTATCCAGTTAAATTGAAGGAAAAGCAGAGGTCTAGGTAAAGTGAAATAATACCCCCAATCTACTGAGAACATCCGATACCTTTGGTTCTACAGTTAACAAATTTATTTATTTTTTAATATATATTTTATTGATTTTTTTTTTTTTTACAGAGAGGAAGAGAGAGGGATAAGAGAGTTAGAAACATCAATGAGAGAGAATCATCAATCAGCTGCCTCTTGCACACCCCCTACTGGGGATGTGCCCACAACCAAGGTACATGCCCTTGACCAGAATCGAACCTGGGACTTTTCAGTCCGCAGACTGATGCTCTACCCACTGAGCCAAACCGGTCTCGGCAACAAGTTTATCTTTTGATAATTTCTCTTGGTTACTGTGAAAATGCGAAGCCTGAGATAACCAAAATGATCATGGCTAGAACTTCCACAGTAATGTAATTATAGCTGACTGAATTGTTAAAGCCAACATGATAAATTCAGAGAGAATCTTCTTCCTTCTCATCTGTTTCTTTTAGAGGATTCTACAGATTGGGAAAAAGAACTACAGCAGGAACTTCAAGAATATGAAGTGGTGGCAGAATCAGAGAAACGAGATGAAAACTGGGATAAAGAAATAGAGAAATTGCTGCAGGAAGATAATTAACTGTTTACTTAAGTAAGAATCCTTAACATTCTGTAACTGACATTAAATTCTAGCTGGTAACCCTCGCTGAATCAAAAGGCACAAAAGAGTATAACTATGAAGCTCAAAATTTTTCTTTTTTCACATTGAAACTTGCCTCTTCTTTAAGAGATATATAGAACAATTATTCTAAGCGTTAAAAAGGGATGTTTTATGTAATATTTCTTTAATATAAATTTAGAGATGATGTTCTTAGGGTCAATATTGATATATTAGCTACAGAAACACAAGTAAAATTTTAGAATTCTGTTTCCGTGAGATCAAAATCTTCAATTGTGATTTTCTAAACATTTGTACTTCTTGTTGCACTTTTGTTGATAACTCTTTTATGTTAAAGTATTTAATGGATTGATAACTCAAAATTATCAAATAGTACCAAAGAACTTAAGAGGAAGCACTTTTGGAACTGTTTTCTTGTTAGGTATTTTCTACAATTCCATCTGGAGGCTAAAAGATAAAATAATCACGTTGATTTTAAAGGCATAAACATCAAGAAATTTGCCCTGGATAGTGTGGTTCAGCTGGTGCCCATTGTCCAGTTAAACCAAAAGGTTGTCACTTGGATTCCTGGTCAGGGCACATGCCTGGATTTCTCAGGCTCCATCCCTAATAGGGGGCATGCAAGAAGCAGCTGATCAATGTTTTTTTTTCACATTTGTGTTTCTCTCTCTCTCTCTCTCTCTCTGTCTTTCCCCCTCCCTCTCTCTCTCTCTGTCTTTCCCCCTCCTCCTCTACCCCCTCTCTCTCTTCCTCTTCCGTTTCCTTCCTCTGTCTCTAAAAGTCAATAAAAATTTTTTTTTTAAATCACACAATTTGACAAGAAGCACTGTGCAAAATATTTTTTTCTCTGGAGCCTTTTCCTTCTCATTTCTTTGTAACTATACCACATGTAATAATACTGTTTTCCTAAATTTTACATCACGGCTTTTATAAAAAGCAGGGCCTCTCATCCTTTTTGTATTAATGACCATCAAAAGCCTGATCTCCTGCCGAAACCGGTTTGGCTCAGTGGATAGAGCATCAGCCTGTGGACTGAAAGGTCCCAGGTTCGATTCCGGTTAAGGGCATGTACCTTGGTTGTGGGCACATCCCCCGTGGGGGGTGTGCAGGAGGCAGCTAATCGATGTGTGTGTTTTTTCTCTCTCCCTTCCTCTCTGTAAAAAAAATCAATAAAATATATATTTAAAAAAAAGTAAATGAAAAAAATCTAAAAAAAAAAAAGCCTGATCTCCTTAAAGTCTCTTGTTCTTATTTAAATTGTCCCCACATAGAATTAGCTTTGTTTGTTTTAATTAAACTGTCAGTCTTTATAAAATACTTCATTGATCAGTCCTACTTGCATTCTGCTAAACTAGAAGATGGTCACTTTAAAAGAACATGGCGGCTGAACCCCCAAGGCATTTGCTTCCCGAACCCTTCATATTTTTCAAGGAGCCTTTATTTCATAAAGGGGAATAGAATTAAGACAATTCTTTATAAGAAAAAGATGCATATTTTTATTCTTGGCCCCATAAAAATTAGTCTGTTGTCTTCTGACAAATGTATAGTCAATGAGAGCACTGAGTGTGCGTCCAAGTGCTCATTATCCTTATGTTTGTAGTTTGGGATACACATGTGTGAACGAGCCAGACTGTCCTCAGCTAGGATGACTTCAGTTGTAGCAATAAACTCACATACTCACTCTAGCCGGTTTGGCTCAGTGGATAGTGTTGGCCCTCAGACCGAGGGGTCCTGGGTTTGATTCCAGTCAAGGGCATGTACCTCAGTTGCAGGCTGGATCCCCTACCTGGGAGGCAACCAAGACACATCGATGTTTCTCTCTGTCTCTCCCCTCCTTTCTACTCTAAAAATCAATGGAAAAATGTATCCTCAGGTGAGGATTGAAAAATAAACTCACAGACTCATTATCAAGAGATTTCCACTGGTGCACAGTCGGCGATTATGAGTTTGGGTTCACAGATGATAATTGGCAATTTCTGAAATAATCCTATTAAAGGAAACGGTTTATTTGTTTAAACAGAGTTTACTGGAGGGAAAGATACTTGCTAAATGTTTTTAAATTGCTTAAAATCCTAGATGTCAGCAGATCAGGATACGGTAGTGCTTGGCTCTTAGTATATGCTCTGAAATTCTTATTGATGAATGTTGAATAAATAGCGAAAAAGATTTCAGAGAAACTTAAAAATCTAAAGTGATAATAGAAGAATGTTACTGTTGTTACTGTCAATTTTATGTGATACTCATTTCATTTAAAAACAACCTAATTGTATAACCTAATTTGTACAACCTAATTGTACAAATTTATACTGTGTATAAAGTCTTATTTTATCCTTTTGTTGCCCTGTGAAAAACAAAAGGATAAAATAAGACTTTATACACAGCATAAAAATAGGCTATATTTTTATGGATTCATCAAAGAGTAAAATGTTCTTTTGTAAATTATACAGGTAACTGAGGTGTTACTCTTTTAAAGGACAAAATAATTTGTAACCATGTTTGGTGGAAAATTTTCTGAGTATTACATGCCTAGGGCTTAGCCAACAAAGTACACTGAGCGTAATAAACACACATAAACTTCACAGAATGTTCAAATGTGCACATACTTCATCACACTAAGGGGATTGTACTACTCACTACTGGCTCAGCATGAGCTGCCTGTCCTGAGAGTTGGTTAGAAATGCAGAGTCTCAGGCCCCACACCTGCTGAAGGTTACAGTGGTCGTTAGGGGTGAACAGCGCTGGACTAATGTGCTGATGCAGCTGAGGATTCTGGTGCTTCTTTTGCTCAGCCTCTGTCATCCTTGGCTGACAGTATCTTTCTAAGTTACAAGTGCCTCCTCTGCTGTCCATTCGGTACTCACTGCCCACCTCCCTTTCCACACTGCCGAAGGAAGAGGAGCCACGTCCCCAGGGGAACACAGATAATCCTGTGACATCAGAGGCTTCTCATATGCACATTTCTAAGGAAAACGATGACACTACGAAGCACAGAAACGAGGCTCTCAGAAACATTTTACGTGTTTGAGACATTTCTCTGAGCTGCTCGGTGGCATCCCAGGGCTGACCACTCTGAGGGCTATAAAGGATAAATGGCCTGTGTGGCATGTTTATACACATGAAATCAAATAGAGATGGTTGAAAGGTAGTAGAACTTGAAACTGAGTCTTCTTTAGGTGCATGGAGCAATATGATACAAGAAATAACATCCATTTTGTTACGGTTCTGGCAGTTAGTGGCAAGCGTGTCAAATCCTCAGCTGAGTTGGCCAGTCTTAGCAGGAGGTTGTGCTCGGCTATGGCAGACTCGGGTACAATCTCACAATTTCCGTATATACTCAAAAGTGGGAAATCTCAATTTGCAATTTGTGAAATGTTAGGCTAGAGAAGCTTTTAGGAAATAAAGCAGTAGTTATACTTGTGCTCACAGTGCTTTCAGATGCGCTATACACAAGAAGGTTTTCCACGATCAGAATAGTGTTACAAAGAGGATTTTAGAACATGTTAAAGGTTTACCAATAGGAAACTAATGATTACATTCACCTTGCAATATTATATTTGCTTCCTTAACTGCCTTGCTGTAAAAGCTAGGATTCTGAATGTGCTTCTATAATGTAAATAATTTGATAGGGTTGCTCTTTCTGGTACTAGATTTTTTTCTCTCCTTTTTAAAGTAAACCTTTTTCAACTATAAAATAGTTGAGTTTAATTTTAGCAAATTTTGTTTTCGGATTTTAAAATTATAAGTGGTAGAAATTTTTATATAATCAAAAGTTTATATAATCAGTTTTATTTAGAAGAAAACAGGCCATTTTAATAAGTGGTTCTATACATTGATAAGAAAAAATTTAAAAATGCATGTTACAATACCCAAAAATTATGACAAATATACAGGATGTCCATACACACACACACACACACACACACACACACACACTTTTAACAGCTGATAGCTCAATTGGTGTTTCTTTTCAGATTTAACTCATTGGAATGAATAATTATTCAAAGTATGTATATATTTTTTGGATACCCTTTATATTAATCAAGCTTTGATCACATGCAGTTATATATTTCTTACAAATCATCAAATTATCTGGTCTTCACACTATGGGATTTGTTTAGATAGAGGCATTTATGATTTCAGTTGTTAAACTTGTTTTTTTTACAGCACTTATTTAGTGTATCCTGATTTATTTCCAATATGGAAAACTATGTTATATTTATTCTGAAGAAATAAACCTTACTTTTAGTGGTAAGATATGTTATAATGATTTTTCCTGAATAACTAAAAATTCTATTCTGGTAAAGAGGGCCTGCAAATATTTCAGTTTCTGGTATGTAGGCTCCTATTGCTAGAATTAAAACTGCCTTGAAATAATGTTAAATCTTAACACATTTTACTTTCATTGTAGACTTCTACTCAAATGCAGTAGGTTGTCCATAATAAAGATCATTCCAATCCACAATTAGTAGGACTGTTCTGACTCAGGCTTATCATGGGATTGTTCCCTCCTCCAGTAGTGTTGATATACAGGGGTGGGCAAAAATAGGTTTGCTGTTATAATACAAACAAGAGGCCTGGTGCACTAAATTCATGCAGGGGGTGAGGGGGTGTCCCTCAGCCCAGTCTGCACCCTCTCCAATCTGGGACCCCTTGAGGGATGTCCGACTGCCAGTTTAGGGAATAATACAATAATATGAATAACTAAAAAAAAAAAAAAATAATAATAATAATCATAATATGAATAACTAGAGGCCCAGTGCATGAATTTGTGCACAGGTGGATCCCTCTGCCTGGCTAGCAATTGTCTTACCCAGTCTAAATTGGGACCAGCTGCCAGGAGGGCGGGACCATGGGAGGTTGGCTGTGGTAGCGCACTGACCATCGGGGGCAGTTCCTGGTGGTCAGTGTGCGCCATAAGTACTATCTGGTTATAACTGTTGCTTAGGCTTTTATATAGATAG